GTAATTAGTAAAAACCTATTATAATTAACTTTGTGTAAGTTAATGTTAGTGGTTTAAAACATGTTAATTGTACATTAACATGACTTGATGTTTTAATAAAATTATTAATTTATTATGTGATTATGAAATAATATGTATATTAAATGATTATTTAGTATATAATTAGTGTGGTGGACTTGTGTTTATGTTTATAGAATTAATAAACATGTTGTCATGTTGGATGTAATAAGCATGTTAGTTGTGTAAATTAATGTGCCCTCTAGGTGTTTGTTTAAATGTCTAGGTGAATACAAGAATGTTAGTTGAGTTGATTATCTTACGTAACATGTTTGAAATTGTGTTGAAAATGTCAGTATATTACATTCATTATGTAATGGACATTGTAAATGGTATCAAAGGTAATTGCACATTTTATTACATTATGCATGAGTTGCATTACATTCATGGTCATTGACATAAGTGAAGAGTGTGTGTATGATATGAAATCAATCACCACATAAGTGATTGATCGTGGCTCAGGAAAGTCGCACCAAGGTCCAACTGAATCGCATGGGAAATTAAATGGATAAACATGTCGGGGTATAGTAAGAAAGATTAGATTATCCCTCGGGTGCAAGACCCGCTTACTTGGTTTATATACTTTCCGGTGGTGCAATTCCAGAAAATGTATCGGCGAAAATGAAGCTGCAGGTGGGATTGTATAGACCATAAATCATCTCTCCACAAAGACACAAGAAAATGAATTAATTAGTCATTGAGTATACATAACACCAATGACGGAGAGCTTGGAATGTCTGTATGCATACGCATGACATTGGATATGTTGTGAGAGCTCGGAAATGGGGCTTAGTGTTAGTATTGCTTGTGTGAGTCTCATCTCATGGCATGACATGATTTATGACATTTATTCATAATAAACATATTTGAATAAATACATGAAATAATTGTAACATGTGACATTTCATATGTATTTGGGATGAGAAGTATTCTATATAGAAGTTACCCTATTGAGCGTCGGTTCACCTTTTATGGGAACAATTTTTAGGTACATCACAAGCTTTTACCGAAGGCCTTCCTACTGGTCCACTTTGACGACAAAGCTAGACTGTGACTCTTATTTCGACGTCGTAGTCTATTGTATATGTTTACTTTTGGCCTAGCATAATTTTTGTAACAAAAACTTGTTTATATTTAAAAGGCATGTACATGAGACTCTTTTGAAATATTTATTTTTTTATGAATGAATGTAAGTAGTGATGATGATTAGGGTAGTATCTGATATTATGCAATTGAGTATGAATGAATGTACCTGGTGTGATTAATGTTGTATGCACAAGTTAAATTTTTTGATAGAACTTCTTGTACAAATGAAACTCTGTCCAAATTTTGTTAAGTTATGCATCTCGATAAATGAGGCATAACGGCATGGTATTGAAGTTATACGGTATTCACGGGTATTCCGCGGGTTAATGGGTGATCAACGGGGTAATAAAAGGGGCGTCATAGTGACTAAGTAATTTTATAAATATTTTTAGGTCAAAAATTTTTTTTTCATTGAATCCGAAAATGTCAAAAAACATTGAAAGATGTTATATAAGTGTATTAGAAGTTTAGAAATATTTTAGAGTTAAAACTTATTTTGGAAAGGATTTTGGTAGAAAGGAGTTTGATACTATTTTAATATTTTAGAAATAACTTTTTATTTCAATGTCTGATTAACCTAAAATTTTTATAGTATAAAGTAAACTTAAAGGGCTATAAAAGTGTATCGAAAAATTTATGAATCGGCCTCTAACAAGGTCAAAATTGATCTAGAAGTTAGGAGCATATTGTTACTCGCGCCTAGACGGGCAATCTTCGTTTTTCAACCTATAAATACCATAGGGCCGCGATTTAAAGTGTTTTTACCTATCTTTTCAACCCCAAGGGTTTCTAAGAAAATTTGAGGAGAAGAAAAGGAGGAAGAACAACTAAATCTTGAAAGATTAATGCGGAGTAATTGCAATGAAACACGTTACAATCAATATCTCAAGAATCAAAATAGGAGTTTATTTCTAAACTTGTTCATTGAGAGTAGGGGTAACATATATATATGTGTTATGAAATCATTGTTTCTTAATTTTTTTGTAAATCGTATTATGTCTTAAATGAGATTATTGTTTAATTGTCATAAAAACTCTCGTTCTTATTATCAAAACATTAGTTTTCAAGAAAGATAGGTTTTACCATTGATATTTTATTGTTTTTGATTTAAAAACTATAGTGTCTTGTTTGAATAACAAAATTATATTTTTTGATGATCTCTTGCATATTTTCTCGAGTTGTTCTGCTGAAAAAATACCTGTGGGATTATAGTTCTTAGTTTACCTATGATTTAGTGAATTGGTTTGATATAGTATCTCTTGTATGGATGTTTTGATAAACATAGGTAATCATTGACCAGGTATCGTAGAGTAAGTAGATGCGTTTTTTATTCCGAGTGAATTTAAAGTTTTTCTACCACTCGTAATGGAATTGGTGTCTTGCGGGAACCAAATCACTATTTGCTCATGGATATCAAGGTTGGGGACTAGTATACTATTCCTAAGTTAGATTTATCACTATTGATGTGTCAATATACGCTATTCTTGAAGCTATGTATCCTTGTTAGGATTTGGTGCGTATATGTGGACCAAGATATTTTTAATGTCCGTATTCCTGGTAAGTCTTATTACATACTTGAGATACAATGTTGGAAATGGTTTATTGTCCTGCAGTTGGTTTTACTTATTCATTTAATTTATTGTTATCACGTAAACTTTAGGTCTGATGAACTATCATTGTTTTATTTCAAAAACTATATATAATATTTTGTAAAATGAGACCGACCTGTTTTATATGTTTTCAAAACCGTGTTTGCGCTTGAGAGGATTTTTCTATAGAGCTTAGTGCTCACCCACTACAAACAACATTTTTTTTCAGATTACAGTTTAGAGGAAGAGTTCAAATTGGATGAACAAGTAAATTGAGAAGCTCAAATTAATGGAAATGTGGATTCAGAAGTGGATATTTAGAGTTATTTACTTTATATTTTAGCTTGGAAGGTTAATTATGAGACAATGTTAAAGATAATATTTTCTTTATTCCGTTGTAAAATAATGTTTATTTTTGAATGTAATTGCCAAGGTTTGACATGTTTGTTTTGAACTATGCTTCAGTTTTTATGGATGATATATAAAAATCCTTATACTTATGGATTTTATTAGTTGCTCTCATGTTGTGAATGATTTATAAATATTAATGTCTTGCAGGGTAAGTTTTGGGATATTACATATGGGTACTTTGAAGATTTAAATATATAAGAATATGATGGTAATTTAGATATTTAATTATAGAATGATTGTGTGATATTTAAAATTATTTATAAGGGTAAAATAATGAAATAAAAAAAAATTATGCTAAAGTACTTTTATTAGTAGTATAGACTAGTTGTTGTTCACGTGCGTTGCACGTATACTATTTTGTAAATAAAATATTATACATTAAAGTTGTTGATCACTTATCTTCTTACAAAATTCACAACTTTAATAAACATTAATAGTTAAATGGTCAAGATTCATATTCTATTAAAACACCCTTCTTCTTTAATAAAAAAAAATGTTAAATTAATAAAATGGACTTAAAAGACAAACAATATTGATGTTTGTATAAAAGATCTCCAGTTAATATCTAATACATTGAATATTGATGGAAAAGAAGTTAATATCTAATACATTGAATATTGATGGAAAAGAATTCATAGAATTTGTATCGATTTGTAGTGTAAACAAATGGAGAATATAAAGAGGTCAAATTAATTAAAAATTAATTCTTAGAATTTGAAGAGTCTATAAAGTAATCCAAGCTTAATTGATAATTGATACATACATCAGTTAGAAATTTAGTCCCCAAATACGTAGAGTCAAAAATTTAAATTGATTATAATTACGCTAATTATTGAATCACGATTAAATGGACCTTACAATAATAATTAAGAACATATTTGAGAATCAAAAGTTTTTTCACTTAGTTGCCTTTTATTAGTGCTATATATATAGAGTATAGATTTAGATATATTTGACTTTCCTCATATTTTTCCTCCATTATTTTAAATAAGATAAGATGAAAAAACAAAATATATCATTTGTCTGTTGCAAAAAATATAGTAGAGAGTTAAATTAGATTTTTTATTTTAGAGAGTTTAAATAAAAAGTCTATTAGATAATAAATTTTAAAGGCTGACTTTCTATAATAGAAAATTAAATTAGAATAGATAACCTATTAGAGATGCTCTAAGACTCATTCCCGATAATTGCATGCAAAGGGGCATAAATGGAGTGTGTTTACATAGGGTTATTATTGGTTGTAGGTTTTACTTAAAACATATTCAATCTTTATTTTTTTAAAACTTAAATTTAAATTTGGATAAAATAACTTTTAAAAATTTTCTTCTATGTTAAACACGTATTCATATCAAAGTAAGAGAAATTTAAATTTTTATCCAAATTAAAAGAGACTTAAACTTTTACTTAAATATCTCCAATTGTTAAAATTCATTATCCTTTAAAAATTTAGTGATTATATTCTATTCTCATTTAAAATTAAATTTATTAAATTAATTTTTTTACTCCAAAAAAGTCAAAGTATGAGTAAAAATTTGACTTTTAAGGATGTAGATGCTCTTAAAAACTCGAACCTAACCGGGCCCAAGAAACGCAGAAAGAGCGGAAGCCAACCCCACCCCGTCTGTCTGTCTGTGTGGGTCTGTCATTTATTAGGGTGTTTCGATTCGACTCAATTCTCTCAGGCAGATCCTCCTGGGTAGCAGTTGAATGAGGAAGTATAACCTCAAATTTGCCTCTCTTCGCTGGATTATTATTATTATTATTATTATTCGTATTATTAAGTTTTGCCTTTTGTATGAACATCAATTAGGGTTATCCAAACGGAGGAGATTGAATTAGAGAATTGTTAGCTTAACAATGTCTGTTCGACTGTTGAGGAAAATTCTCAATGAACAAGAAACAGCAACACAGCAGCGCCGGCCTGGAACAGAAGAGCAGCAGCTCAACAGCGGCGATGAGTCCGTGTCGCCTGATTCGTCCATTCATTCCTCTAAAAATCCCTTCGATCTCCTCAACGACAACGATCAGGTTTAACTTTCTCCTCGATGCCAATATCTACCTTCGCTTCCTTCTGCTATAGTCAATGCGTATGTGCGTATGTATATATCTACAAATGTTCTCTGCTGTTGTCTAAACAAGGATTTCGATTTCTTCTCTGCACTAAGAAAAAAAGACATTACTATTCGGCAATTGTTTTTTTTTTTAATCTTTTTATATGGATAACGGAGGGGAATGTTTATCGGAGCTGTTACAAAGATTGAATTGTTATAATTAGATGTGTTCGTGTGATTCCTTACCCAATAACTGTTGTTGCAAACCTTGGTACGTTTTTTAAATTTGGTATCATTTTTATGGCTTAGGTTTGCTTTAAAAAGTAACATTTAAGCGTATTGTTAACACTTCTATATGTAAATACCTCTATTTCCAATTAGTCAATTCCAATACATGGCTCGGGGAAGAGAATGAACCCAAACATTAAAACGGTAAAAAATTTTTGCTTTTCAAAGTATTTTTCTAGCGTAAAACAAAAGCTAATTGTTGTCAAACAGTAACTTTATCATGAAGATTTTATTCTGAATGTAATATTTTGAAAGAATAGTAATGATATAATAGAATATAACAAACAAGAGTTATATTGGCGATTTTTTTTTTTATAACCAGAATTGAAAGGTGATGGAGGCCTGTCCTAATTTATACAGGAGAAGTCATCCGGTACTCTGGATACTCGTCTTTGGATCCCAACGTTAGAATCATCTTTAAGATGGGATGAGTTAGAATAACTATTATGCTCAGAAGAAGGTATAGACTAAGAGGAACTTGTTTGGATTTGGATCATCCATCCACCCACCTGAAGCATCACCACAATATGCTCACTAACTTAAGGCTTTTGGTGTCCAAATCAGACCTTACCCTATATCCGTTGATACAAAATTTGCAAACAGTAAGGAGCAGTGAAAAGTAGTATTAGAGCAGAGGATCGTTACGTTAGTCCTCTATTAGGAGCTAAGGTAAATATTATAGGGTGATGCTGAACATTGAAACAAAAAATCAGTTCTTTGTCTGTTAATATTTTTTTTAATTCTTATTTTTATTCCTTTGCCCTGCATAGCCCTTAAGAAACCTGTGGCTTGTGATTGTGAAGTAATACACCATTTCGTTGAGTTTTGTTGGGAAATACCATTTAGCATTGCATACCTCTGGAAGCACCACAGTCTTTCATACAGTGTTCTTTTGGACTGAGAATGTTACCAATGTACAAAAAATCTTGACTTTCACCTTAGTTTTTGCAATATTTCCTTCATTGGCATGGCTCAAGCACCTCTTTTTGTACCTTTTCTTCTGCTAGAGCAAGAAAGTAAGCTTACTCGGTTCCCAAGGTTAGTTCCTGTGGCTCCAAGTTACTTTACCTCTATGTAACTCTAATTGCTAATTTTTGAGACCTTAATTTTAACGAACCACCAATCAAGTTAAATCAAATAGCAACTGGAAACATGTTGCAGCTCTAGACTTAATGCAATATACTAAAAGGTTCTGTATTGTGCAGGGTGGATGGCTTTCTTCTGAAGTGAAGTTTCTTGTGCTTAAATTTACGCTGCATTTGCAAAACTTTGACTAGGACTTTTGTTGGCCCTAATTGTAACCTACTACCAATCAAGTCAAACTGATTTGTTGCATCTCTAGAATTAATTAGAATTGTTGTGGTATCCTTTGGACCAAAATAAGCTGAACTGTATGAAAGCCAATGGTTAATTGTTTGCACCAAATATTTAGTTTGATCACATGAGCTGTTCTGTCAAAAATGATAATGTATCTAACATAAATGGATGTGAACATTAAGAATCCTCAGTAGTTTTCCTGTAGGCCAGAGGATGTATACTACCAGCTAGTGAAATCGTAATTCCTAGTCCAAAACCATTTGAAGTCGTAAATGAGATTATGCCCCCCCCCCCCCCCCCCCCCAAAACCCCCACAAAAAAAAAAAAAAA